TATTCTGTGTTGTTGTTGGCGGAGCTCTCTGCTATACATGCACCCGATCCGCCATCTTGTTTGTTCTCCTTTTTTCCTATCTTTTTAATGACCTTTTGGTTTCTGTATGATGTTCTTGGTGTCATCCTATAACACCTGGTCTTCTGCATTAATATCTAATTCATCAAATCTGTCCTTGAGATGATCTCTAAATTCAGGAGGGATACATTGAATGTGATATTTTAGCTCTCATGGACTTCTTTTAATTTTCTTCAGCTACATCCTGAACTTGCATATGAGCTGTTGATGGACTGTTCCGCAGTCTGCCTTGGCCTTGTTTTGGCTGATGATACTGAATTTTCTCTTCCCACAAATGTAGTTAATTTGATTTCTATGTATTCCATCTGGTGAGGTCCATGTATTTAGTCACCTTTTATATTGTTGATAAAAAGATATTTGTAATGAAGAAGTCATTGATCTTGCAAAACTCTATCACTCAGTCTCCAGCATCATTCCTATCACCAAGGTCATATTTTCAACAACTGATCCTTCCCTTTGTTTTTCAACTTTCATATTCCAGGTACCAGTAACTATCAGTGCATATTGATTACACGTTTGATCAGTTTCAGACTGAAGAAGTTGGTAAAAGTCTTCAATTTCATCTTTACTGGCTTTAGTGATTGGTGCATAAATTTGAGTAATAATTGTATTAACTTCGTTTTCCTTGTAGGTATATGGCTATTATCCTATCACAAACAGCACTGTACTTCAAGATAGATCTTGAAATGTTCTTTTTGATGATGAATGTATTGCTTTTCCTCTTCAGTTTGTCATTCTTAGCATAGTAAGCCATATAATTGTTTGATTCAGAATGACTAATACCAGTCTATTTCAGCTCACTAATGCCTAGGATATCTGTCTTTATGCATTCCATTTCATTTGTGATGACTTCCAGTTTTCCTAGATGCATAGATTTTCGTACATTCCAAGTTTCAATTATTAATGGATGCTTGCAGCTGTTTCTTTTACATATTGAGTTTTGCCACGTCAGCAAATGAATGTCTCCAAAGCTTTTCACCATTCACATCAATAAGGTCAACTCTACTCTAAGGAGACAGTTTTTCCCCGGTTGTATTTTGAGTGCCTTCCAACCTTTGGCACTATATCTGGCAATGTTCCGCTGCTGTTCACAGGTTTTCAAAGCTGACCATTCGGAAGTAGTCTGCCTCTCCTTCCTAAGTCTAAGTCTGGAAGCCCCACTGAAAACTTTCATCCTGGGAAACCCTACTGATATTTAAAATATATGTGGCGTACCATGGCAATAAAACGATACACGATAGGATGAATGTAAAGCTAATGTTCTCCCATGTAAACTATCACATAATTCACAATAAAACA